TTAGTACTTTAGATAACTTGACGAATGTTGCTTTAAAGTGCTTCGAATGTTGTTTGCTGTTGACATTCAGTTTTGGAATTAATAAACTTTCTCGAACAAAAACCGCATAAACTTAGTCTCGCGTCACACTTCTGCTACCTGAAAGTCGCGCGACTTGCAGTGCGACTTTGCCACAGAGTGCACACAATATTGGAGTGATCACGGAGTGCTCACGTTTTGGTTTATATATATTATATATATATATATATATATATATATATATATATATATATATATATATATATTTTTTTTTTTTTTTTTTTGCACATTTAAAGAGTGGTTTGTGTTTTGCACAGATTGGAGTGTTTTGTATTTATCTAAAGGTAATGCACTATAGATTATTTCTTTTTTTTTAGGTTTTCGTGGAATAATTAGGATTATATTCCTTCTTACTGGATTGAAGTGGAAAATTGGATTTTGGGCTTTATTGGACACATTTGGGACTGAAAATGAATTGGACACTTTATGGTTTATTTGATTTATTTGATTTAATTTTCATATTGTTTTTGGGAATTTATGTGGTTTATCACAAAAAGGTATATTTACTATTTTGTACTTTCTAGGGAGAAAGTGTGACTTTTTGGTGGGAGTTGAATTAACCTCCCTAACGGTATTCCCGAGTGTAGCTCGGGGTAAAATTTCTATACCAAAAGCGGTAACCCCGAGCTACACTCGGGCTTACCATGCGGCGTTGCTCAGGGAGTCCCTGGAGCACTTACCTTGTCCTTCGCTCCCACAATGTGTCCCCTGCAGCGTCCCCAGCCATCTCCTCCGTCTGATGCCGGCATCCGCCTTCTGTGTTCCGGTCCCTGTGACGTCGGGACGTACGGGCGGCGGCGGCGGGAAATTTTGAAAATTTTAAAAAAATGTCATTTTTTTCAAAACGATTCTACATAGTAAAACATTGCTGTTTCAACCCATTTCACATACATTTTGTCCCGAGTGCTTTGTCCGGCGCCCTGCCTGCATTTTGATTGTTCTTTCTGCCTGGAAACTTAGAAAAGTCCATGGCGTCCAAAAAGTGTCCCTTTAGGTCAAAAGCGGTTTTAGACCGGCTAGAGAACAGCGATAGTAAATGAGAACCACTTGCAGAATTGAGTGATAATGATTCGTGGGGGAAATCCGTCATCAGACACTGAAAACGATTCTGCGACTTTGCTCAGTGATGTGCGAACTTGGCGCTATATTTCAAATTTCAGTGTTTTTGGTTTGATTATATTATTGAATTAAATGTATGATTTAGAATCTTGTTCAGACAGATTTCAGTGAGTTATTCCTAAAAATTACAGCCTACAATAAAAAAAAACTACATATTTCCATGCAAAATAATGGTACCGCTTTCAGCACCAAAAATATGAAATAATCATACCGCTAGGGAGGTTAAGGAGGTTATTTATTTATTGACTTTGCCAGGCAACTTGAGTACTACGTTGAAGTAACTCTGAAGCAATTCTGAATTTCAGGGATTGCCTGGGTAATCTTCCTGTAATGTCGGATCCAAATACCATCAATATAGATGAGGATCCGACTTAGAGGTGAGTTCTATTACAGTCTATGGGCACAGGTAAGATAGAAGTCTTCTTGAAGTACTACAGGAACCTTTTCTAAACTCGGAGTGACGTCAGTAGTGCTAATTAAGACAGCTCTCATTGACTAACATGGGATTTCACATGTCATGCAACTTTGGGTCTCACAAGTCGGATCTCGAGTCGTGGCAGTATGATCCCAAGCCTTAGTAATTTGTTCAAGAAAAATTTCCTATCCTGCTCTGTCATATTTTCTCATCCCTGCAGTCAAAAATGAATACTGATTTGATTCCACAAACCATTGGAAAATCAAAAGAACTTTCTAAAAAATGAAAAATTTGAAACTAAATTCTACTAGTGCATGGGCAGCTTTACTGTCTACCACCTGCTCTGGACACCACCACCTCTGGGCTTTTGTATGGATTCTCTCCTGATGTGCTACATATCACGCCAGATCTTCTTGAAAATTGTAGGTGCTTTTTTCTGTTATCTGCATTTGTTCCCTTGTGCCAGAAGACCATAAACGTAGGTACTCTGTGCCAAGACCTGGCGACAACCAAATACTGGTAGGCCTGCTTTCTGTAGGGCAGTGGTTCTCAACCTTCCTAATGCCGTGACCCTCTAATACAGTTCCTCATGTTGTGGTGACCCCCAACCATAAAATTATTTACCCAGTAATTATAATTCATGAGTGTCGTTTTACCTCCAATATTGCTGCTTTCAACACAGTAGCTGCTTTTAACAGAGTAGCTGCTTTCAACACAGCAGCTGCTTTCTACACAGTAGCTGCTCTTTACACATCGGAAATATGTGTTTTCTGATGGTCTTAGGGGACCCCTGTGAAAGGGTCGTTCGACCCCCAAAGGGGTCGCTACCCACAGGTTGAGAACCACTGCTGTAGGGGAATAGGGGCTGCTAAAGCTGAAGCAACACTTGCCAGTTACAGTTTCTCACCTTGCCATGGAGGCTAGCATCACACGTTCTGAACTGCAAACCGCATGCTTCACAAAAAGTTAAATCCCCCCTAGTAGAGCCTATAGGTCAGGGGCGTACTGATCATTTGGAAACTCGGGCGCTGCCCGAGGGCCCGGGGTCAGTAGGGGGCCCCATGAGATGCTCCTGGTACCTTTTTTCATAGGCTTTTTTGAGTTTGGGCAAGGACACAGGGGCCCCATGATCCCCTATTGCCCGGGGGCCCCATGAGTTGTCAGTCCGCCCCTGCTATAGGTACATATCCTTTGGCACCCAGAGCAACTTTCCTCTGCTAGGATGTCTTTTAGATAAAACATCTTCTTACTTTACTGGTCCTAACTTGGCATATGGTGTTTCGACAGTACATAAATAGGCCTAAAATCAGATAACTGTGAGTCTGCTTATGGGGAAAAATGTGCAATTAATGTCTGTACAGGGAAATAAAACACTGGTTTTCCTTTGCTGCCTAAAGGTACAAGCCTACTGTGCCTTAAAGCAGAACTAAACCCCTAACCACTTGCCATCCAGAGGATCTACCATCCTTCCTGACCAGGCCACTTTTTGCGATATGGCACTGCGTCACTGCACCCAAATTAAATATATGTCCTTTTTTTCCTACAAATAGAGCTTTCTTTCGGTGGTATTTGATCACCTCTGCGGTTTTCATTTTTTGCGCTATAAAAAAAAAAGACGGACAATTTTGAGAAAAAAAAATATTTTGGACTTTTTGCTATAAAACGTCCAGTAAAAAATTAAAAAATCAAATTTCATCATACATTTCAGCCAAAATGTATTCTGTGACCTTTCTTTGCTAAAAAAAATCCCAATACATGTAAATGAATTGGTTTACGTGAAAGTTATAGTTTTTTTAACTAGTAATGGCTAGTAATGGCGGCGATCAGTGACTCATAGCAGGCATTCTGACACTAACTAACACTGACTAACTGCCACTGACATCCCCAGTGACACTAATACAGTGATCAGTGCTAATAAAAAGCACTGACACTGTACTAATGGCACTGGGCAGGAAGGGGTTAACATCTGGGGCGATTAAAGGGTTAACCGTGTGCTGTTTTACCTTGTATTCATCCTTCTTTGTATGGCTGTGCTATGCAGAGCAAAACAAAGCAGCATGCTGGTGCTGACAGAGGAGAGATCTGTATTGTTTACATACAGACCTCTCCCCTGTCAGTGTTCCTCGGCGAATAGTGACTAAAATAAAGTGACCAATAATTATAAGTGAGCAAAATAATGTGACTAAGTAGCATAAATCATGTAAATATGTAGTGAACAAAAATATATTGTGAAAAAAAACAACAACAAAGTGAACAGTTCCAAAAAATCTGTTTATCTTCAGCAGGAATGAATCAACCAGTGACCACTGCAAAAGCAATCCTCCACCAGCTAGCATGCGTGGTCACCTCTGGCTGTTACCCACAAGGGGAAAATTAAATAAAAAAGGGACTTCCCAGAGTGTAGTATGTAAAACACATTTATTGAATAAAATAGCAGAGTAACTACTCATATTAACCCCTTGCCTACTGGGCACTTCTACCCCCTTCCTGCCCAGGCCAATTTTCAGCTCTCAGTGCTGCCACACTTTGAATGACAATTGCGCGGTCATGCAACACTGTACCCATATGAAATTTTTATCATTTTTTTCACAGAAAAAGAGCTTTCTTTAGGTGGTATTTAATCACTGCTGGGTGTTTTGTTTTCTGCTCTATAAACAAAAAAATAGCAAAAAATTGGCAAAAGAATTAAGTTTTTCTTTGTTTCCATTATAAAATTTTGCAAACAGGTAATTTTTCTCCTTCACTTATGTGCGTTGATGAGGCTGCACTGATGGGCACTGATGAGGTGGCACGGATAGGCAGCACTGATGGGCACTGATAGGAGGCACTGATGAGCTGGCACTGATGATGCTGCACTGATAGGCGGCACTGATGGGTGGCAGTGGCACTGATGAGAAACTCAGCACCTCTGAGTGTAGACTGTAGAATATTTAATGGTGAACATAAATAAAACCACTCACATATAGGAGATGATAATTAGGCTCCTAAGGGGCTAAACGAGGCATAGATTCTCCCCCCTGAGCTGTGGATCTCTGCAGCTTCTCCTGAGTTACCATGGGCCTCTTGGCTGCTTCTCTGATGAATGCTCTCCTTGCCCGGCCTGTCAGTTTAGGTGGACAGCCATGTCTTGGTAGGTTTGCGGTTGTGCCATACTTTTTCCATTTTCAGATGATGGATTGAACAGTGCTCCGTGAGATGTGCAAAGCTTGGGATATTTTTTTATAACCTAATCCTGCTTTAAACTTCTCCACAACTTTATCCCTGACTTTTTATCTTAAATAGTGTATATTATTTAGTCTGTGTGAAAGCTATTGAATCTACAAACTATGGGATATACAGTATGTTTGAAAATTGATCAGTTGACATCCTTAAATTGCCGGACGCTGGCATGACGTATGGCAGTGATCAAGGTGCTAATATGGGGTATGGTGGTGATCAGGATGCTGGTATGGGGTATGGTGGTGATCAGGATGCTGGTATGGGGTATGGTGGTGATCAGGACGCTGGTATGGGGTATGGCAGTAATCAGGATGCTGGTATGGCATATGGGGTGATCAGAACCCTGGTATTGGGTATGGTGCTGATCAGGACACAGGTATTGGGTATGGTGGTGATCAGGAAGTTGGTATGGCATATGGGGTGATCAGGATGCTGGTATGGTGTATGGTGGTGATCAGAATGCTGGTATGGTGTATGGTGGTGATCAGGAAGTTGGTATGGCGGTGATCAGGAAGTTGGTATGGCAGTGATCAGGATGCTGGTATGGTGTATGGTGGTGATCAGAATGCTGGTATGGTGTATGGTGGTGATCAGGAAGTTGGTATGGCAGTGATCAGGATGCTGGTATGGGGGTATGGCGGTGATCAGGATGCTGGTATGGGGTATGGTGGTGATCAGGATGCTGGTATGGGTATGCTGGTGATGATGCTGGTATGGGGTATGGCAGTAAACAGGATGCTGGTAAGGCATATGGGGTGATCAGAACCCTGGTATGGGGTATGGCGTTGATCAGGACACAGGTATTGGGTATGGTGGTGACCAGGAAGTTAGTATTGCATATGGGGAGATCAGGATGCTGGTATGGGGTATGGCGATGATCAGGGTGTTGGTATGGTGTATGGGGGTGTTTTTGTGTGCACTGTGACAGGTGACAAGGGCTGGCTGCATTATTTATTGTTCCTAGACTATGGCAGTGATCAGGCTGCTGTACACTCACAGGCTGCAGGATTGCTTCTCTCTGTTCTCACAGTGAGAGCAGAGAGAAGCGATCTTTAGTTTCACTTTCCAGTGCTTTGATTGGACACACACTTTTTTTTATTAATGGTTGAACTGGATGGACTTTTGTCTTTTTTTTTTTTTTTTCCAGCCAGACTAACTATGTAACTATAACATAGAGAAGTATGTCCTCCTGTTACTGGTAGTCTTTCTGGAATATCCCATACTACCCTACACCCGATCCAAGTTATATTAGGCAGCACAGTGGCTAAGTGGTTAGCTCTTCCACCTGTTAGTACTAGGGTTGCCGGTTCAAATCCCAACCATGGCACCACCTGCCTGGAGTTTGCATGTTCTCCCTGTACCTGCATGGGTTTCCTCTGGGTACTCCTGTTTCCTCCCACACTCCAAAGACATGCTGGTAAGTTAATTGGCTCCTCTCTAAATTGGCCCTAGTATGCGTATGTATGAATGTGAGTTAGGGACCTTAGATTGTACACCCCTTGAGGGTTAGGGACTGATGTGAATTTACAATATACAGTTATGTTCAAAATAATAGCAGTCAGACATCACTAACCGGATCAATCACTGTTTTTGGTAGGAATGATATTTCTACATGGCAAATAATTTACTAGCAGGTGTAGTAGAGTAATAGAAATCCAACAGACCCAACAGTCATGACATGCATGCTGCTGATTCTGTGTCATTGAATCACTCATTGAAAGGGGCATGTTCAAAATAATAGCAGTGTGGAGTTCTATTAGTGAGGTCATTCATTCTTTGAAAAACAGGTGGCAATTATTGCCCTTATTTAAGGAAGGAAGGCAGCAAATGTTGTACATGCTGGTTACAGTCCATTTCTCTCTGAAATTCTGAGGAAAATGGGCCGTTCCAGACATTGTTCAGAAGAACAGCGTACCTTGATTAAAAAGTTGATTGGAGAGGGGAAAACATATAAAGAAGTTCAGAAAATGATAGGCTGCTCAGCTAAAATGATCGCAAATGCTTTAAAATGGCAACCAAAACCTGAAAGACGTGGAAGAAAGCGAAAAACTACCATTCGAATAGATAGAATAGCCAAAATGGCGCGACTCAGCCAACAATCAGCTCCAGGAAGATGAAAGAAGGTGTAAAGTTCCCTGTGAGGACTGTTACAATTAGAAGACGCCTATGTGAAGCCAAGCTATCTGCAAGAAGCCCCCGCAAAGTCCCACTGTTGGAAAAAAGACATGTGCTGAAGAGGTTACAATTTGCCAAAGAGCACATTGACTGGCCTAAAGAGAAATGGCGCAACATTTTGTGGACTGATGAAAGTAAGATTGTTCTTTTTGGGTCTAGTGGGCGGAGACAATTTGTCAGACGATCCCCAAACACTGAATTCAAGCCACAGTACACTGTGAAGACCGTGAAGCATGGTGGTGCAAGCATCATGATATGGGGATGTTTCTCATACTACGGTGTTGGGCCTATTTATCGCATACCAGGGATCGTGGATCAGTTTGAGTACATCAGAATACTTGAAGAGGTCATGCTGCCTTATGCTGAAGAGGAAATGCCCTTGAAATGGGTGTTCCAACAAGACAACGACCCCAAACACACCAGTAAAGGTGCAACATCTTGGTTCCAGACCAACAAGATTGACGTTATGGAGTGGCCAGCCCAATCCCCGGATCTTAGTCCAATAGAAAACTTGTGGGGTGACATCAAAAATGCAGTTTCTGAGGCAAAACCAAGAAATAGAGAAGAACTGTGGAATGTCGTCCAATCATCCTGGGCTGGAATACCTGATCACAGGGGCCAGAAGTTGGGTGACTCCATGCAACACAGATGTACAGCAGTTCTCAGAAACAGTGCGACTACAACCAAATATTCATGAAGTCATTCAAAGGAAAGCAAAATCTTCAAACATTTTTCAGTTTATATAGTGAATGTTTGAGTTTGTAAAGAAGAATACAAACACTGCTATTTTTTTTTGAACCGTCTAATATTCACTTTTCTTCCATTTTTTTTTAGAGGAACAACACAAATTTGATCTATTTTTCTTCATGTTTTGATTTGGAATAGAATGTGTCGTGTTCCCAATGCATTTGTGTGGATGGAAATAAAAGCTATTAGAAGGATTTTGAGCTTTATTCACTTTTTTCAACACACTGCAATTATTTTGAACACAACTGTATATGTAAAGCACTGCGTAAACTGATGGCGCTATATAAGCACTTGAAATAAATACATTTACCAATAAAATCACAAAAAGACATCCACTAGACTGCTATTGGTGTCATTGAGCCTGAACTGTGCTCTGTGTGCGCTGGCTGCCTCTGCATTAGTGACTGGTCACCATCATCATCATTTGACTCAACAGGGGACATGGTGGATCTTTGCAGAGAGACCATTGCTTCCAGACAGGGAACAAGTGTCCTTCTTCTTCAAGATCATTTTTACCCAAAGCACCTTTGAGATGTTACATTGTAACCATCATCTTTTCCATTTCAGACTTTCCATTTAAATCAGTGGTCTTCAAACTGTGGCCCGGGGGCCAGATGTGGCCCTTTGCATGCCTTTATCTGGCCCTTGGGCACTATTCCACTAACTGACACCAATGATGGAGCTCCATTCCCCCTACTGAACCATCAATGTGGTACTATTCTCATTGATATCAACAATGGGGTGCTATTCCTCCCTTTAACCACTTCCCAACCGGCCGTTGCATATAAACGGCCGGACGGTGGCACTGCAGGGTCGGGTGGCCGTTTATAAACGGCCTCCCCGCACCCTGCTTGTGCGCACTCCCTGGGAGCAGGCAGCACCGCGATCCGGTGCCCGCTGTGTCCTCCGTGACACAGTGAAACACAGATCGTCGGACGGGACCTCTGTATGAGGTCCTGATCATGTGATCACTGATTGGCCAATCAGTGATCACATGCAAAGTAGTAAGCAAGATGTCACTTCTGACACATTGCTTACTACGTGTGAAATCTGTGAATGATCACAGAGGTCACATGGTACAGGGCTATTCACAACAGTCTTGTGCCATGTGACAAGCTGTGACCAATCACAGCTCACTCAGTACTTCTCAATGAGTGCAAGAATGCACACAGAGAGAAAGAGAAATGATTGCTTTTACATCCTATATGGGTGTAAAAGCAATCGGTGTAAAAAAAAAAAAAAAAAAATCTTCATCACCCTCCACAAGTAGTACAGTGTCACCATGGTGACACTGTACTGCTAGGGTGACAGTATGTAAAAATAAAAAAAATAATAATATAAAAAATAAAATAAAAATGTAAAAAAAAAACTAATTTTTTTTACTAAAAAGAAACGGAATAAATTTTGGCTAAGATTTATGATGAAATATTTATTTGCAAAATTTTATTAAAAAAACCCTTTTTTTCAAAATTTTTGAACATTTCATTTACATAGCAAAAAAAAAAAAATACAAATCCCAGTGGTGAATAAATACCACCAAAATAAAGCTTTATCTGTCTCAAAAAAATGGTAAAAAATTCATATGGGTACAGTGTTGTATGACTGCGCAACTGTCATTCAAAGTGTGATAGCGCTAAAAGCTGAAAATTGCCCTGGTCAGGAAGGGGGTAAAAGTGTCCGGACTGGAAGTGGTTAAAACCAACGACGGGGCACTGATGCCGGGGCATTTTCTACTCCCACTGGGCACAGTCTGGCCCCTGTAAAGCCTGAAGGACAGTAAACTGGCCCTTTGCTTAGAAAGTTTGGAGACCCCTGATTTAGTTCATCAAAATTTTCTCTATGCAAAGCATAATTATAAAGTGAGACACACAGTAATGGACTTGTGTCTTATACTGGGAAAATAACTAATTAAATAATTAGGTGGTGGTAGTTATTTGTCTCCACATACACAGCTTATTTAAACCGTAGGTGAGGCTTCCTGTAAGGCAAGCTGTATTTATTTCATTGTTGTGGTCAACCACTGGCTACGTATAGAGATTAGATACGTCAGGCAACTACATGGTGCTGTTTATCCAAACAAAATCTGTAAAATGACATGTGGTTAAAATTAGTTATACCGAAAAAAGTAAATCTTGACTTCAGTAGATCAGTTAAAAATATGCAAGATAAACTACCCTCAGAGTACAACGTAGAACAAATCAAAAGAGCAGTTTTGCTATCAGATCTCCACTATACACCTCTAGTTTTCTCAACACCTTGACTTGCATTTTGTGGGCCATTCATAAAATGTGTGCATTACCATGCACTACTCTAACACACACATCTAAATGGGCATTTACAGTTCTAGGGCAGCAAGGTTTATTTATTTATTTTTATCTTTTGGTTGAACTGCGTAGTGCTACCCCTGAAGGAGCCGCTGGAAATTGCCCCAAATTCTTTTCCCAGTAATTGCCTCGAAGCCAGGCACACAATCACAGTCACTCTTTTGGCTAAAAAAAAAGGGTGTTCTTTTTGGTGTTTTTTTATATTTGGGGTAACTGAGATAGGGTTGAGGGAATGGCATAGGATGCTCCAAAAAGGATTATGTACAAGTTGAGGACAGTAAACTTCCTTCTATTGAGTTGAAGCAGAAGTCTTTTCAAAATCAAACTGTGGACTTGGCATTGTAGTAGATGCAGTTAAAAGCACAAAAGCTTCTTCCTTTGAGCAATCAGAGCAGAATGTCTTCGCAGAGAATTAGGTAGACTGAGCTCTTTAGGGCACTAGCCGATGTCCCCTTCACACAAACACACTGCTGACTCTCTAGCACGAGAAGGGTGGCAGCAGCCCAAAAGCCTTTAAGATCTCTCACAGCAGTCTGTACTCACA